GTGTGCTCTTCCGATCTCACTTTATTTAGTAGCACTCCGCGGTTTTACCTTACTTTTATGCCAAATTATCGTATAAAACAATAAAATGTCACTAACTAATTTGTTCCTTTTAAAAACCTCCAGGCAATAGCCTAGTAGAGCAATAAACAAATTTGGCATGTCTACAAGGCTGCAGTTACAAATATAGTTAATTACGTCCTGTGGTTTCGCGTTTTTCGGTACTCTTCTCGCAATGGTTTGTAGTTCACTGCACAACTCAAAAGCATCAATATCCTTCGAATCTTCATGCGTAAGACATTTTTCCAAATTTAAGCAATCTTTCACAATATTATTGGGTGATTCGTTCTCTAATTTTTGCAGATTGTAAAAAAACCAAATATAGAGTTAATTTGCTCCAATTGGGAAAACCTCTCACTAATAGAATTTATTGCGGTATCAAGAATCGCAAAATAAAATTTACTTTAAATTTTTGCGTGGCATTTAAAATAGGCTCATCTTCTACTTCGTACGGAAATCGATTTTTCTTTTTTCTCAAGCGGATTCGGACATTGATTCAAATACTGCAGGAATATCGAGCTCTTCGGCGAGTTTCCTTGCTTCTACCAACATCTTTTCAAAACCTAGATCACTTCTGCAGTTCTCAAGAAATGTTTTTGTTACATGCAGCTGTTTTGTAGCGGCATGCAAGTCAAAATTCTTAGATTGAAGTAGTTTACTAGTTAAATTAATTTCGAAAAGAATGTTGTGCCATACAATTAAAGATACAATAAAGTTATAATTTGAAATTTTTTTAGCAAGTCCTTGAGCCCCTACTCGTGACAAGTTATCAGATGGCCCTGTCAGAGTAGTATCTTCGAAAATATCCAAGAGCATCATGTACACTACTTAACTGGTACCGAAGTGGTTTTACTCAGTGCATTTATTCGACTTTCCCATCTTCCTATCACCATCTTTCCTATCACTTAATGGTTTTAGTGTAAGATTTGGAATATTACGTAATAGAACCCCAGACAGCACACGGATATCTTATGGACATCCATAAGGTGTCCTTGAAGGACATTGAGGATATCCGCAAGCTATCCTTTTTAGGTCCTTCGGACGTCCACTGGACGTCTATGGGATATCT